GAGGTTTTCTGGATCTGGCAGGGAAATAAAAGCTGGTCTGCAACAACCAAATTCTGCAGGTCCCTGGCAGACACAACCTTTGAACTCACGAGCGTGGGCACGTGCTGTGGAAGAAGTTAGAGTGCCCTAGGACACCTGAGCAATTCCATGCTGGGGTTAAAAAAAGCTGTTTTGATGGCAAAATTAAAAGTAACCTGGGCTTTCTGCACCTGTACTGAAAGACCCTCAAGTCATTATTTTTGTTTCCCCCTCCCTTTGTCTTGCTCTGCTTTCCCCTACTCTGTGTGCTACAGCTGCATGCCTGGGGACCTCAGAGGGGAAGGAAGAGGGGTGGGCAGGGCTGGAAGGGGCTGTTTTCCCTGCATTCACCCCCAGGTGATGCACTCCTGTACACAATCCCCATGGGGGAATGATGCCAGCAGTGCTTTGCTGCCATTCATGGCCATGTGGGTCTTGGACTGAGCTTGACACCCTGACCCACAAGTGTTCTGTCCCATTCCAGACCCTTCTGAAGGAACCAAACTAGGATGGCCTGCCAGATTTTAAATTAATAGATGTGTACCAGTGGAAGAAGAAGTGATACAGCACCTGGTGTGCATCTAAAAGAGCTCTCCACTTCTTTTGGCACATTTGCCCCAACAAAAAGCCGTGGGGGACTCAACCCTCCAGTTTGGGGTTTGGGTGTTTGAAGATGTAAAAACATCTTCCCTAAGGCAGCAAGCCCTACCTTTGGGGTTAGCATTTCTAACACTGCCCCAGAGCTGCCCAGGGAGGTTGTGGCATTTCCCTCTCTGGAGACATTCCAAACCCACCTGGATGCATTCCTGTGTCACCTGCTCCAGGTGACCCTGCCCTGGCAGGGGGGTTGGGCTGGGTGATCCCCAGAGGTCCCTTCCAACTCTGACAATTCTGTGATTCTGCACCCAGTGCTGCCCAGGGGTTGTGTCCCCAGGCCAGGTCCCATCTCCATTCTCAAGTGTCACCCACCAGGGTCTCCATACAAAACCCACAGGGCTGTGTGTCAAATTCCAGGAGCATATCCCAATCAGACTACTTGGTCAGTTGCCATAAAAAATCCACCACTGCCATTACATGGCAAGCTGCACTCAGAAGGGATGGACAGACCCAGGGACACTCCATGACAGGTGAGTCACCTGAAATAACCCCTCCTTTGTCTGGAGTCCCAGCAGCTCCTGGAAAATGAGCTGCATGATCATCACTGCGTCAGCACCTGCTGATGCAGCACTGTTAATTATAGAGCTGGGGCTCAAGCAAGCACAGCACAATTAACATCTCTTAGGTGAGCTGCTGGGCTCTCCCAGACCTCCCCCAGGCTGGAGGTGATGGCAGGATGCCATCAAGAGCTGCCCCACCACAGTGGTGGTCTCTTGGTCAGTGCATGGATTTACACCCTGCTGCTCCAAGGATGATGTTTGGGCTCACAGTCCAGCCTTTAATGCTGGAGCAATAAATTGCAGCTGATTTTTGGAAGAAGGCCACATGCTCTCCTCTGGCAGCTCCAGCAGGAGGGAGGGAAGGGGTGACAGTGTGACATTAAGGTTTGCAGCACCCATCCTCTGTGTCATTATTCAATTTTTTTTCCTGAGACCTGAATAAACAGTAGAAGGTGTTATTTTCAGCACTGAAATGCTGGCATCTTACACCTCCCATCTCTAAATGTGCAGCCATTTCCTTCCAAAGGAGACATTTTTTTTTCCTGAAAATAGAAAGAAATGCATATTTTGACCAGAGAAAGCAGTTATTTTCCTCCACTTCTTGATTTTTTGAGCATCTGGCAAAGCTGATGTTACCACATTAAAGTTGCTTTACAGACTCCCCATATTCAGGCTCTAGAAAACCTGGATAGCCAGGGACACTAAAGCATCTGAAATTCCTCATTCAAGGCCAGAGTCCCTGTGTCCCAGTATGTGCCCAACACTGCCATGTGCCCAACACACTCCCAACACTACCAACCTGGGCACCAGTTCCAGACTGGAGTCTGTGAGGGTTAAATGGTCCTTTTTAGAAGGTCCTGTTGTCATAGAACAAGAGCAATGTTTTAAAACTAAAAGAGGGTAGATTTAGACCACCCTTATTTTACAATGAAGGTGGTTAAACACTGGAACAGGTTGACCAGAGAGGTGCTGGATGCCCCATCCCTGGAAAACATTCAAGGCCACGTTGGGTAGAACTTTGAGCAACCTGGTCTTGTTGAATGTCTTGCTCAGGGGATTGGACTGGATGACCTTGTAAGGTCCCTTCCAATCCAAACCATTCTATGATTTAGTGGTCTCTGAAAGGGCTGAGTGGGGCTCTCAGGATCTCCTTGTGGGATGTAGGTGCTCAAGTTCCTTGCCAAGGAGCTGCACTTGCTCTCAGCTGGGGTGATGGTGCAGGGGGAGTCCCATCAAGCCCCACATGGGACATGTGTTTTGGAGGACATCCATCCCCACTGCTGCAGTGAGCAGGCTCCCCAGCATCCTCCAGCCTGAGACCTGGGTCCCCACAGGGTTTTGCTGGGCATTTCAAAGGAGCTCAATGCCCAGCACATCACCACATCCCTTCCCACTGCTTCACATCCCTTCCCACTGCTTCCCAGTGGCCCTTGGCACTGATGGAGCTGGTTAATGGGTTCTGCTGGAGTGTTTGATATTTAACTCGCTTCCACAGTCAGGCAGAGGCTGCAGAGGTGACTCAACAAGGTCTTGCCCTGGTTGAGCCGGGAAAATCACATCCTGTTCTTTTAGCTGGAAAAACACTTGGCCACAAATACATCACATCATGTTGTACATGGAGACATCTGCTCCTCACCCAGGCTGATGTCACCTCTCCTGACCTCTACAAGAAAGGGCCAAAAACTGTCACCAGCCCATGGGCTCTGTTATTGATGCACACAACTGCAGTTTCAAAGGGTGGCCCTCATGGTGCTCAGAACTTCAAAACAACTTGCCCTGTGCCTGGGACTGGGCTCCCTTCATCTCACCCCAGGTGTGGGTTTGTGCCTGTCCACGTGTGCACATCCCCACCACAACTGGTTTAATGAATCTGAGGAAACGAGCACAAAACCATTGAGCTGTACTGATTTTATGTCACTGCCAGATTTGCACTCAGCTTGGGAGCCAGGGAGATAAAATACAGCTCGTTTTGTTGATGCCAGTGAGGTTTAAAACTCAAGACAAATTAATTGTGTCTGTATTTTTTGATGGTTGAAGGCAATTTCGTGAAGCATTTGTTAAAGATGCCACTTAAGGAGGAATTTCCTAACTGCACAAGTTAATAACTTTAAAACTGCTACTCAGGCTCTCTGCAAATGGGGCTTTGTGCTGCAAATCTCTTTGAGGCTCATAATTCAATCCTATTTAAAAGCAAATTTTCTTAGATTTAGAGCAATGAATATTTAAATGCTACCAGTTGAACAATTTTCAATTTTGAGATCATTTCAAAGCCAGGGGAGTTTACAGCATTCGGCTACTCTGCCACGCTTCAGCGTCTGAATTGATCTGAACCAGTAGCTGACCCTTAAGCAGCTTAAACAGCTATAAAGGGTTAGAGCAGTTGAAAGGGTTAGGGTAGTTTAAGCAGAACATCGTGTTTTCAGGGCTTTGGTTAAAGAAATGAGAGTTCACAGGCTGTCAAGGCGAGCAGCTCCAGAAGAAGGATGTGACAAGCTTCGATAGAAAAGCTCTCTGAAGCACTCGGCATCTTCTGTGCCTTCAAATCTTGCCTGGTTTATTTTTTTTCCTGAGAAAAAATGAAGAAGAAAAATGAAATGAAAGGAGCATGTTGAACATTGACACAAAATGCAGAACATAGGCAAAATGTTTGGGAAAAGCTGTGAAGGTGGGTTTGCACTGACAACAGCCTTGTTCTGCTCCCTGTATTTGACACTTCTTCAGTAGAAACCGCTTCAAAACACAGTAATGCTCTGAAAAGTGACAATGAAAAAAAAAACCAAAAACACATGAGCTTTGCTGTGCTCATGTTTAGCCCCTCCAGTGTCAGATACATGCAAATTAAAAACCAAAAGATGGAGCTTTTAAAAACTCTGTTGTGAGCCCAAGCTTTTGGCCAGGGTGATTCTTTCAGATGGGAAAGCAGACAAAGGGAGAAGGAGAGGTTGTTGTTCTTTGGGGTTTTTTTGGTTGTGGTGTTTTTGGGTTTTTTTTCCTTTTTTAAAACTTGTTGTTGTTAAGAGGTATTTATGCCTCTCCTAGCCATAGAAATGGCCCCTGTGTCCATTATAATTTATTCCTTTTGACTAAAAGCCATGCATATGTCAGTATAGCTGCTCCATCTGTGCTGTTAATGCTGGACTGTGCAAAAAACGGTTCAGGTTTTGTTGGATACAAGAGACAGCTGAGGCAGAGGGAAGACCCCTTAGCTGGGCAAATCACAGAAGGATGAACATGGGGAATCTGTTTCCAGGTGGCAACTGCACTGGCATCTGTGCTGGCACAAGCCTCCCACACCTGTGCCACAAAAGCAAGGTGAGAAGCAGTGCAGCTGAGGTGAGCTGCAGGGGCTCTGCCAGGGCTGTCTCTGCTGCAGTTACTTTACTTCAGCCTGAGGGCTGCAGGAATGGGACAGGGCTCATGTACCAGGCTGCACCACATCCCATGTCCTGTCCCTGGCTCCAGAAGCAGATTTCTGGGAAATGCATAATGACAGGTGATGTAGTTTCCTCTGCAAACCCTCCTGTCTCAGACTGTTTGTGGCTTGGGAGAGCCAAGCTCCTGGGCTCTCTGGGTGCTGGGTGACCCTCTGTGGGTTCCTCTCCTGTGACCACCCAGGGTTCTCTGGAGAAAGCAGGACAAGCCTTTCCCATCCAAAGCTTCTGTGTCAGCCCTTGTACCAAACACTGGCTGATTAGTCTGTTTTGAGCCTGGCAACCCCAGCTGATGCCCTTATCCATCTATTTATTTATTTTTATTTGTCAGTGGCTGAAGCACTGAACAGCCTGTCCTCTCCCAGTTCCATAAGCCTCACCATGTTTCTACTCACCTCTTTCCAAGGACAAGAAGTCCTGACCTACTCATGTTTTATCTTCCCTGCATCCCTTCTTTGAACTTCTCCCCTTCTGCCCATGGTGAGCTGTGATGATGGATGAGGCAGGGTCACTTCCACACCAGGATTATATCCTGACAGCATTCTTGCTGCAGAAGAAAATGCCAGCCCTGACCAAATATTCCCTCTGAGGATATTGCCAGGGTTTTCATCAGGGATGGGATATTTAGCATCACCACGGAAGGATCCAGGCAATCACTCAACTGGAAAAATAACTCAGGTGCTGTGTAATGAGATCTGACAGAAATGTAGCAGTAAATGATTTAATTACTCAGCCTGTTTCAGTGATGGTGCCAGGATGGATGCAGCAGTGCAGGGTCCCTGCTGCTGACAGCAGCATCCTCCCATAGCCCAGCAGCATGCCTGGGGCAAGCCTGTGACCTCCCATCTCACCATAAATATACTCCACAATTAAATTACACTATTTAGAGCTGGTTTATTAGTGGTATAGCTGATGTCTGTGTATGTATATAATGAATTATTCCTTACATTGAGGGCCTCAGCAATCCCATTTCTTCAGTCTTCTTCCTCAGCACCCTTTGCCTTTTCCTCATTCCCAAACTGCTCCTGTCTCATTCCATCTTATCTCCATACTCTCTTAGAACACTTTTTTTCAACAGTAACATCACTGTCCAAGATTATAATATTCCCACCAGTTCCTATTTTCCCAGTATCTCTGTAGACATACACAAAAGATCTGGGTTGTTTTTGGGTTTTTTTCAGAGCAAGCACTCAGCACTTCCAGGAACTGGGTGTCTTCAACAAGCAGCAATGTGTGTGTTGTTTTAAAAACATCCCACCCTTGCTTTAACTAACTTTTAATATGTCCCAGAACTGGCTGTCCTGGGACATATTTCTCCATGGCTTTGGGCTCTGGGTCAGGGTGAGAGCACCAAGATGTGCTGATCTGTCAGGATTTTGTACCCCTCTGAAGCTGGCAAGTGGCAGATCCCCTTTTTCCCCACAGAACTTTGCAAGGATATTTGGAAGTAAATAACTTCTGTATGTCCAGCATTAGGACTTTTTCTGCATCACTCGGGGTTTCTGGCTTGTGAAGCACCTTTTGGGACAAGCCAGCAAAAAAATTCCTACATGATGGAAGGCACCAGCCGGTTGCATCATCCCTAAAGCTTTCCAGGAAACCCCAGCTCAGAAATTTGTGTTCCCCTTCCCTCACCCCATCCACAGCAGTAGTCAGCCTTGGAAGGTGGAGATGAAGAAGTTCGTGTTCCCCTTCCCTCACCCCGTCCACAGCAGTAGTCAGCCTTGGAAGGTGGAGATGTTGTCACAGAAATGAGTCAGAAAATGCACGATTTTGGGGAGGGGAATTCTTTATGAGGGTTCTTTCTGCTGCGGTTTTGCAAGCAGATCACTTCCAGTGATTCCCAGAGTCTCTCCGAAGGGTTTTCGCCCTCTGGAGGCTTATGTTAGTAAATAAAATGCGAAATTTAAAGAGAAAAAAGGCTCAGATCTTACATTTGCAGGAATGCAGCCCCCAAGAGAATAAATATGCAAAGAGCTGGTGAACTCCAAAGTGCTTTTACTGAAAAGCTGGGCACAGACTCATGGCAATAACAGAATCACAGAATGGTTTGGTTGGAAGGGACTTTAAAGATCAGCATGTTCCAACACCCTGCCATGGGCAGGGACATCTTCCACTATCCCAGGATGCTCCAAATGCCATCCAACCTGGCCTTGGACACTGCAGGGATGGGGCAGCCACAGCTTCTCTGGCCAGTCTGTGCCAGGGCCTCACAACCCTCACAGAAGGAGGGTGAAGGAAGAATTTCCTCCTAATAATCAATATAAATTTCTGCTCTTTTATTTTAAAACCATCTCTCCTTGCCCTATCACTATCTGCCCCGGTAAAAAGCCACTCTCCTTTTCCATAAGCTCTCTCTAGGCACTGGAAGGGACAAAAAGGTGACACTGAAAAGATAAGCTCAGTCCCGGTAAAAAGCCACTCTTCTTCTTTTCCACAAGCTCTCTTTAGGCACTGGAAGGGACAAAAAGGTGACACTGAAAATGTAAGCTCGGGCTTGTTTTGCACTAGGCTTGGTTTAGCCATATTTACTTATCTCACTTTATTTCCCTGTGTATTTCTGCCATGACTTCATCCCAGTTCCCTGAAGCCTGTGGCAGCCTGCTCGTGTTCTTATGGAGTTTTCTTGTCAGCCTCTTTGTATCCTCTGTCAAGCTGTGCACAGCTGAGCCTCACAAGTCCCAGGAGAACAGGGAGAGGGCTGTGCATGGAGGCACAGTGCCAGGAACCTGCCCAGCAGAGGCTGCTGGCCAGGCACGGTGATGTGATTCAGTGAGCTGGGGGCAGAGACACAGAACATCCCCTCCCAACCCTGTTCCCATGCAGGACACCCTGTATTCTGTGTTTGCTTTCTTCCAGCCAGCCCAGGTCCCTCCACATCTGCCAAAAAACCAGCTGGAAGCCAGATATGTGAACAACAGCTAGCACCTAGCTCCTACCAGAGACAGGAATTCCCATGGGTACTGGCACATGTTAGGAGCCTATATAGGAATGGTTCTGCTAAATGTATGTTTGGAGAGGATCTTTTTGTCTAGAGGACAAACTTTTTAGCTGTGTGTGTTGGAATAGCACACAGGGTGGTGGCTTTAAACTGAAAGAGGATTGATTTAAATTAGATAGAAGTGCTTTACAATGATTATGGTGGAATACTGGCACAGATTGCCCAAAAAAGTTGTGGATGCCCCATCCCTGGAAATGTTCAAGGCCAGGTTGGACAGGGCTCTGAGGAAACTGATTAAGGTGAAAATGTCCCTGCTGATTGCAGGGACCTTGGACAAAATGACCTTTAAATGTCTCTTCCAACCTTCCAACCTAAATCATTCCATAATTCTGAACCACAAAACACATAACAGATGTGAGGGGTACCAAGGATTCCACAGCCTCAGAAGCCTTTGCCCTTTGCTCCCGACACCTTCTGTCCATTTACCTGTCAGAAGGAAATGCCCACCTGTGATCTGTACACATCAAGTTCCCATATTCCACCAAAATGTCACAGTTCTACACCACCACCCATGGCTGGGAGAGAAGGTGTGCAACACCATGAAGCAGCACCCTCTTACCCTGCTCATCTTCATTCCCAGTCTTGACAAGGTGCCCACCTGCACCTCAGCAACATCCAACACTTCTGCACGGGGTCAGCTCCATCCCACAAGGTTGCTGAAGGGAAAGGCACATGTCTTTTCCAAAGGGAAAACCAAAGATTGTGGGAAAACAAGGTCCAGATGGGAGGGGATCATAAGGAAAACCTAGATGGGATTTTCCACATTCTTGGTCCTTGATCCACAGAAGTCACAAAGGTTTCTCCAGTGGTAACTGTCCAGTCCTACAGACCAGGCTTGGGTTGGCAATTAACTTCTCTATGAGATTAATTTGACTTCCCATTTCTGAGCTGGCTGAGGTTCTGCCCTGCTGCCAGTACAAGGTCCACAGGTCACTCAGTCACCCTCAGGCTGCTCAGGGCCAAGAGCTCATCACTGTCAGGGCCACACCAGCCACCACGGCTCCCTGGGGCCAGCACCAGCGAGCCTCTGCAGGGCTCAGCTCAACAGGCTTTATTTTTTTCTTGGCCCCTCAGCACCTGAACCCACACAGCTGAGAGTTCAGCACTCTGGGTCTTCCTACAGGACTTGAGGAGATCTTCTTCAGTGTCCAAGTGAGATTCTTCCTATGTTTGGATAGGCCTGAGCTTGGGAAAAAAAACATTCTACAAGGCAAAACAAGAGAAAAAAAAATCACTTGCATCTCCCTCTGTCTCAATAAAAAAGCAAGACAGTATCCTACCGTGCATTACTGGTGTTGTTCTGTCCTGATTCCCATCTTAGGGGGTTTGAGGGCAATTTTGCAAGGCTGGCTCCCTGGGTGTGCCACTGGTTGTAGGAGAGAGCTGAGAGAAGATTCCCCCCTATTTTCAAGGCTATTATATTGTGTGCATGAACCAAGTTAGATTTTAGCAAAAGAGGAGGACATGTCACCCCACAGCAGTGGGACAAAGCTGGGACAGGGGACACTTGTCACAAACCCCCCAGCAGTTCTGGGTACCACAGACATCATCAAGAGCAGGGCAACATCAGTTTGTTGTATTATCTGTGTAGCCCAACATCTCCTCATGCCAGGAACACCATTCCCAGCTCCTGGAGGCAGGAAATTGCTTAATAATTTAAAGCTGTGCTCTAGAACAGAGGTAAACACACTTTGGTGGAGGAGTGGAGGTGCATTCCAGTGCTGGGGCACATCTGGTGTGTGCTGAGGTTGTCACATTGCAGCAGGAGCCAGCAGGGCACTGTCACAGTTTGGTGAGAGGGGACAGTCACAGGGGTGTGATCACTGCTGCAGATTTGGGTTCAGCTCTGCCAGTGCTTTGCAGGGAGCCCAGGAAGGCGCCAGTGATGTTTTGTATTCTGTCTGCAGGGCTGGGATTTGTACAGCTGAGCAAGTTTTAATGTGATGTTTTCTGAGGCAGGAGACGTGGAAGCCTAAAGTGCCGCTATTATGAAATTCCAGTCCAAGCAGTGGCAGATTTTAAATAAGCAATAAAGATGCAAGAGCAAGTCAGTACCAAATAGCAATTCCACTGTACGATCACAGAGCCATGACGAGGCACAACCTGATTTTTTATGCATGTTAAAGTAACTGGAAATTTGCCTTGTGCTTGTTCTTCATCTTGTTAAAGGACTTGCTGCTATGAGGACATATGGGGTCATTTCCAATGTTTTTAGTGCTCTGCACAGTTTCTTGGCCAGGGTTCACATTGTTCCAGTAAACAGTTACCTGGTTGTTTACTGGAAAAGCCAGGATTCCAGGCCTTCTTTGGAAGATGATTTAATCATCTTACACAGCATTTTGCACTTGGATAAGCAGGTCAGCAGCCAAGGCTCGAGCCAACAACAGGGTCTGCCGTGGCCTTACCTCCTGCCTCGAGCAGCACTGGTATGCAGGAGCAGGGAGCCCACGGAGTGCACACACATGGCTGGGTCTCTGCAGCTCTAGCATGTCTCCTCATGCCTGATGTGCACATGCCATATTAGCAAAATGTGAACATTTGACTCAGCCTGGCCTGCACTGAACATGAGTTGGAGGCCCAGCAAGTAAACAAACCCATAAGTCATCCTCCAGCCGGGCTGCCAAGAGGCTCTTCAATACCCAGGCAGAATTCAATGGGTGCCACTCTGCCAGACTGTGTCTGCAGCCCGCCGCTAATGGGGAAAAATCATCGCCGTCGAGCTCTCCTTTGGCTCCTCTCAGCACACACAGACAGCTGATCCTGCAGGCTAATTCCCAGCTGGCCCATTCACAGGAGAAGGAAAGGGAAGCTCACTTCAGGCTCAGCAGCACAACCCTGCCTTGCTCAGCCCGTGGTGACTCACGAGGCAGAATTGCACCATCTCAGCGTGACATCTGCGGGTTGCACCAGACACAGATGTGCCACGTGATGTCCAGCACATTTCAGGAAGCAGCTGGTGCCTCCACTTAGCCCCAGAAACTGCCTTTTGGCACGGTCATGCACTGTGTGGTGCCTGGTCGAGTCATCACCCGCTGGGTAGTCGTGTGTGTAAGTGTGGATGATAACTGTTATCAAACAGGTGGAAAGTTCTCAGCTGTGAAGTTCTTTGCCTGTGGAAGAAGAGGAGGAATCAGGCCTACGTGAGAAATTAAACCCAAAACCAGGAGGACAAAAAAATATTTTCCCCCGTTTCTAAGCTGTCTCTGACCTATCACTCTTTTACTGCTGTCCCCACGTGTCCACTGTGAAAGCTGAGTGAAGACTGCTGCTTTCCTGGGATCATGGAATCACAGAATGGTTTGAATTGCAAGGGACCTTAAAGATCATCTACTTCCAACTCCCCTGCCAAGGGCAGGGAAAGCTACCCCAGCTGCCACGGCTGGGAGCTTCAAGAGTCAACACAGCTGGGAAAATGTGATTTTTTTGAACATTTTACCCTGCAGAATCTCTGTACATCACAGCTGTGCTGTTTGCCTGCCCCATGAGTGGGGCACATATGGCACATCCCAATACTTGAGAAGGGACAGGGACAGGAGGAAAATGCCATACCAAGGGCAGGAAGGGTGATGGTGGAGAAAGGAGAAATAAGAAAGAAGCTGTGAAAGACAGGAGCAATAACAGAGAATCTCTGTAGAAAGCTACAGCACAGCTCAACAAGATGATGGCACATGTCCCTCTGGGTTCATTAACCACTAATAGGATTTATGAGATGGATTTGTCACACTCTCAGGAGTATTTAAGAAAATAAAAAAATAATCTGGAAAAAATCTTGCACCCTATAAACATCTATCCTTTCTAATGAACACTTACTGCTTGTTAGGAGTGATGGAAATAAAAGCAGCCAAGTGAGAGGCAAGCAGGCTCCAGTTTGAGATGAAGCCCCCGAGGTGTGTGAGGACCTGGAGTCCTTGGCTCACACAGGTATTTAGGGCTGTGCAAGGTACCCTGAGCATCTGTCCTGGTCCCCAGACACCACTTGGTGGCTACTGATGCCCCACACATGGAACCTGGAGTTCATACCTCTGTCTCTGATGCCCATGGGCACCTCAGTAATCCTGGAGAGCTTCAGTAAAACAAAGCAACAGAGCTTCCATGGGTTTTTTGTATGGGTGCTGCAAATCATGGGCCAGGCTCAAGGCAAGAAAGATCACATCCAGTTGAAGGGAATGCCACAACAAGAATGGACCCAAATCCTGCACTGTAGCACAGAGTCTAAAACAGCTGCTGGAGATCCAGGAGTGCTCACCCTTGCTTGTGAGAAATTAATTTCAAGCAAGAACCTACCTGAAATAAACTGTGCCACCAAAACCAGCACTGGGGACATTGAGGTGGTGGTTGTTTCATCCTGGCTGCCCCACAGAGCAAAGCTCCTCAAGGTTTTCTTCATATTTTCTGGGTTTTAGGAGTCCTAAATGCAAATCAATTAAGTAAAGCCTGAGGCGCTTTCAATGCCCTGTGCTAACCCGCTCTGAAAATCCCCAGCTTTGAACACGAGGTGGCAGGCTGGCCCCAAGATGGGGAGCAGCCAAGGCAGCTGAAATGGCCAGAAACGGTCCTCTGTCACCACAGAAAGGTGGTGACACGGAAGCTCAGCTCCTTCTTGTCACCTCTCAGAGAAGAGAGAAAGGGCACAAGGGTTTTGGAGTGACTTAGGGGGAGGAGTATGAGGTGAGTGGCCACATGCTATGAAAAGATGTGGCAAGATGTGAGAAGATGTGAAAAGATCTTGCCTAAAACCACCTGCAGCTTGGGAGGAGGATGACTGAGGGAAGAGAGCCCACCATCTGGTCATGGGGATGGTGGGATGCTGCCCAGAAATGAGGTACTGGCAGCACCCTCAGCTTGCCCACTTGAGTGGTTTGGCTCCCAGGGCTTGGGTGAGGCTGGAGATGGCACAGCCAAGAGCTGATCCCGTTATTTGGACCTGCTCACATGTAGGGGTGTCCAATAGCACAAGAGGAAACAGCCTCAAGGTATGCCAAGGGAGATTTAGTTTGGATATCGGGAAGAAAATTTCTGCAGGGAAAGGGTGGTCAAGCAGTGGAACAATCTGCACAGGGAAGTGGTGGAATCAGCATCCATGGAAATGTTCAAAAGGCATGAGGATGTGGTGCTTAGGGACATGGTTTAGTGGTGGTCTTGGTTAATTGTTGGACTTAATGACCTCAGTGGTCTTTTTCTTAATGATTCCATTGATCTGTCTGATGACCACTGGGCTGTTTCTAAGTCTGATTACCTTGATCCTGCCCCTGCCCTGCAAACTGTCTTTGCAGCTTGTCCTCAGGCTTGACTCATCACCTCAACTTGCCTGGGGACTTGGACTCCTGGCTGAACCTGGCCACGAGTTTCAAACCTGCAGCAACCCTGCAGCAGCCCTTTTGGCAGGGAGCAGCGAGGGCTGGGGTGCTCTCCTCCAGGCACTGGGGCAGGAGGGCAGCACCCACACGGAGCACAGAGCTCCCAGAGGAGCAGGAGCTTCCCATGGCTCGTGGGGCTCCTTGCCTTGCAGTTTATTCACAGGGAAGTTTAGGTTATGTTGCAAGGAGGGCAAGCACGGTGGGACTGTGGAAAGAGCAGTCTAATCCAGCGAGTCTCACCGTAGCCGTGGCAGGAGGAGACCACAGTGCTGCCTTTGACACTGCTGGTGGCACCTGAACACTCGGCTTGATGCTCCTCCTCCCTCCTGCCAGCTGAGAGCATCCCCAGCTCATTGAGCCGATTTGCATACAGCTCTCTGTGAGGTCGTCAGGAGGTGCCAGGCACAGGAGTGAAACATCATGAAAGCTGCACCGGAGGGAACAATCCAAG